TGGGGGAGACCCCTTCCCCCAAGGAAAGGGGAGCACTCAGAGGCTCCTGGCCCTCACATGCAGTCGCCCTGGCAAGCCAGTTAGCCCGAGCAGTGTGGACACTTGAGACGGGCGAGTGGAGGCACCCACAGGGAGATGGTGACCCAGGCCAGGCATGCACAGACCCGGGCTGGTCAAGGCTGCCCAGCCAAGGGGACCCCCTACCCCTCGGTATCGGGTGACAGCATTTCCTTACCTAGAAGACAGCCTCCAATTTAAAAAGTCCTTATGTTACCCTCCTTCTGTGTCTATTCTTTGCTCTGCCTTTTGACCCGGAAGCTGTACCAACGCTTAAGGAGCGGTGACACCCAGCCCTCTTCGGGGGTCTGTGTCCTTGCTGTGTCAGATGTTGACACCTGTCTGTGGGCGAGCGGGGAGACGGCTGGCCCAAAACGGGAGGCCCTGAGCTGACTGGGCCTAGTCCGCATAATGGGGCTGTCTCCCCGCTTCTTTCCCACACCCCAGTCTGCAAGTCAGGGCCAGAGGACAGTCAAGGGCCCCCCACAAGTGGAGCTGCCTGAGCTAGGGGCTGCCCAGTTTGCCATCCTGCCCTCTTGCCTCGAGTGGACACCCAGAGATCTTTATTTATTTTTTTTGAATAATATAATAGTTTATTTTTACATCATTTTTTTGCCTTTTTCCATCTCATCTGTCATCCCCATGGGCTTCCCATCACCAAATCACCCATGTGCCATCACCATAGTCCAGTGCACTTCCCTCGCCTGACTGTTTTTGATCCCATTCCCCACCCCACCCCCACAAAATGTCTCTGGTCTATAGCTGTTCATTATTCTTCTTATTATTTTCTCTCCTGGCCCGTTATACTCCTGCTATGAGTGAACCCATCCGGTATTTTTCCTTTTCTTCCTGGCTTATTTCACTAAGTATGATCCTTTCCAGCTCCATCCATATTGCTGCAAAAGGCATGTGGGACACCCAGAGATCTTAAGGAGCAGCCCCCCAAGTGTGGCGGCTGCTGTGGGAGGGCAGGAGCGAGCCTGAGTAGGCTTCGACGGGGGTGGGGTGGGGGGGAAAGGAACAGCCAGGTCGCGTCCTGCCCGCCACCCTTGACTCCTTCTCACTTTGTCCCAGGTGACCCCCTGGCACCCCTGACCCCTGCCTGATGCAGAGGGCAGCTCAGTGAGCGAGACAGGGAGACAGGAAGACAGGATGCCTCCCGGGGCGTCTGACGTGGAGGTCCCTGCGGAAAGAGCAGTTCGGCACTGAATGAGATGCAGAAGGTGCTGAGATTGCCGCCGGCCCTCTGTGTCTAACAGAAGCCCGCGGTATGGACCGGGCACCCCCAGCCTTTCCACAAGCCGTGTTCAACATTAGAGGCTGGGAGCCTGCCCAGATAGTCTGGGTGGCAACAGCTGTGTGTCACAGAATGGCTGCAGCTGGGTTCCAATAAAGCTTTATTTGTAAAAAACAGGAAGTGAGTCTGTGCCCCAAAGAATTGAAAGCAGGCACGGGGACATTTATTTGCACCCCCGATATTGGCAGCAGCCGTACTCACTTAGCCAGAAGGTGAAGCAACCCCATGGACCGGCAGATGAATGCAGAAACAAAATGTGGTCTGTGCAGGCAAGGCAGTATTTTTCAGCCCCAGATGGAAGGCAATCTGATCCCTGGTAACACGGGGTGAGCCTGGAGGACTTCTTGCACATGGAGTAAACCAGTCCCAACAGGACAGAGGTCACGTGATTGCACTTAGAGGGGGCCCTGAGACTCATCAGATTCACAGACACAGAAAGCAGAAGGGGGGGCCCAGGGATTGGGGGAAGGGGACAATTAGTGTTTAATGAGAAAAGGGTTTCATTTTGGGAAGATGAAGAAAGTTCTGGAGGCAGTGACCCCACAGTATTGTGAATCTACCACATGCCACTGAACCACACCTTAAACATGGTTAAACTGGGGCCCTCCCTGGCGGTGCAGTGGGTTAAAGCACTGCACTGAGAAGCTAAGGTCACTTCAGCATGAGTTCGATCCCCTACCCCGGAGGTGACCCACATGGTGCGGCAGACCTCTCCTGACCCACCCGCTGCTCCCCTCAGCAGTGTGCTTCATCAGTCGGCCTGTTCTGCTCCCCACTCTATCTCTGGTGAATCCTCTCACCACCCCTGCACCTCTGGCTGTACCCCAGTTCTGTAGGCATAAATAAATAAATCTTAAAAAAAAAAAAAAAGGTTAAACTGGTAAATGTTAAATTTTCCCAGTATTAAAAAATGAAATAAATAATCACCCCCCCCCCAAATAGGGGGTGACTGGGCTTTGGCCTGTGGACCCTGGCTTGCCAACCGCTGCTCTGAGCGAAGGGTCTTGTTAACCACAGCCTTTGGCAGGTTTGGGGGGACAGGCTAGCCCGGTGGCAGTATTGTGTGTGTAGCCCAGTCTGAGTACAAGCCAAGCCTTTGGGATGTCTACATTCTCTTTTCAAGACCGAGGCCTTCCACCCCCACCCCCCACCCCTCTTATCCCCTTCCATTCTGGCATCCCGCAACCCTTTCAGTCCTGTGCGCTGAACCTGCTTCCTGGCCTATGGTTTGTCTGACTCCAGTCTTTGATCCTGAGGAAGCAATGGGACTGACCTCTCCGCTCAGCACCCTGCAGAGAACCCAGAGGCTGGATGGAGGTTCATTGTCTCCCGGGGGATCTTGGGGCCACTTATAGATTTGTGACCTGACTCCCCACCCCCTTATTTTCTGAATTGTTTTCAGATTCCAGTTTCTTCTGGTTCTGCAGGGGCCAGTCGGTGGCCTTGGCTGGTGTTCCTTTTGTCCTGCGTTGGGGACGGACCTCCCCACATCTTCAGCCCCCATGCTGGACTGAACTTAAGTTTCCACACAAGCATGGCACTGCCCTGGGCATTTTGCTGGATTGCGCTTGGGCACCATCTGTTCCTTCCTGGGATTGCTCAAAGGAAACAGCTCTCACTGGCTGGGCCTCATGGAGCCCTTGCTAAGGCAGGAGGACAAGTGGTCTCGGATTGGCCTTTGAAGAGTGGCTTGGCTGCCCTGAGGCCAGGTGTGGCCTGAATGGCTTCCAGACCGCCCTGCCATGTGCAACTAATCCATCCCCTCGCTAGCGAATTTGGTTCAACTTTGAGTTTCTCCATGTTCCTTAATGGGAATTGACTTTAGTGACCAGAGTTAAAAGACCCAGAGTTGCGAAACACCACCCAGGGTTGGTGGCAGCTTACAAGCAAACATGCTGATTCAATACTGCTGTAAGTTAAGACTCCATTACTGCGTCTGTTGCTAAATAACAGCTCTGGCAGGCGTTAGGAGGAGTCTTTTGACATATATAGCAATTAACTTTGTTGAAGAAGTGAGCAAAGTGACTTATCTGTAGGTGGTGAATAGAAGTGGTTTTGTGCAAAACAGAGCAGAAAAAAATGAGATGTGTGATGGCAGAAATAGGTAGAAAATGAACTGGGGATGGTAATTGCAGAAAACCATTTATGGAGCATTTCCTGGCCTGTCAGGTGTTTTGCTAGCTCTATGTCTCTGTTACCAGCCGGTGTGTCTATGTATGTATCTACCCATCCATCCACCCACCTCTCTCTTCATCTGTCTACTTGTCTAGCTACCTATCTATTTATCTATTTACTTATCTATAGAGATAATATATATATAATTATATATAGTATGTAATTTAAGTCTTGAAACAACTCTTCAAGATAATAGCCATTATTCTCACATGGAAACTAAGAGTCAGAGAGGTTCTTAAGCCCAGAACGCCCCACAGGAAGGAGACCAGCTGGGACACAGACTCTGATTTGGTCAAAACTGAGAACATCCCAGGCCTCGCGTGGGGAATGCGAGAGCCCTGGAGGGGAGCCCCTGAAAGAGTCCCCGCTCCCAGTACCAGCCTGCATTTGTTGGCCACCTGCTATTGTAGATTCTAGGGCTAAACCAGGCTCTATATAGATGAGAGCTAGTTAATTCTCGTGCTTCTTAGCATCTGCTGTTCTGTGGTTGTAACAGAAACACCCTGAGCCGGCTGAAGTGGTGATGGAGGTTCTTTGCTCAAGGACCAACGGGTGTCTCCTGACCTAAAAACAGGAGGCGGGGGGACTGCCAGGGTGGCTGGAAATGAGGGCTGAAGGGTAGTGAAGGGCGTGGGAGGTGCTCTGCTTTACTTTTATTTTTATAAGATTAATTTTTTTTAAAGATTTATTTATTTATTCATACAGAATTGGGGTACAGGCCAGAGATGCGGAGGGTGAGAGGATTCACCAGAGACAGAGCAGGAAGCAGAACAGGCAGATCGAGGAAGTACACTGCTGAGGGGAGCAGCGGGTGGGCCAGGAGAGGTCTGCCACGCCATGTGGTCACCTCCGGGGCAGGCGGGAATCGAACTCATGCGGAAGCGGCTTTTTTAGTTTCTCAGTGCAGTGCTTTAACCCGCTGCGCCACCAGGGAGGGCCCCTATAAGATTAATTTTTTATGCACACAAGAACAGGGGTATGGACCAGAGGTACAGGAGTGAGAGGATTCACCAGAGACAGAATGGGGAGCAGATTCACCAGAACTGTTGAGGGGAGCAGCAGGGAGGCAGGAGAGGTCTGCCATGCCATGTGGGTCACTTCCTTGCCTGGAGATTGAACTCATGCTGCCAGACAGCTTCACAGTGCTGCGCTTTAACCCGCTGTACCACCAGGAAGGGCCTGCTTTACTTTTTTTTGGAAACATATAGAAGTGGTCACTTGGAGCACCCCTGAACCCTGCCATCCCTACCTGGGCCCAGCTGCTCTATGAGGTCAAGTCTCTTGGGGCCAGCTGGAGCAGACACAGTGGCTAGAAGTGAGGTAGGGTAGCCGAAAATGGTTGTGAGTTGGGTAGACACTGGTCCTATTTAATCAACTCCAAGGGACTGGAGATTTATCCCTATTTTACTCACAAGGCACGGACATTTGCAAGGGTTGAATAGTCTTGTCCAAGACCACATGACCAATCGTGATGAAGGAGTGGGTAAGATTTGAACCAGGTTTTTCTGACGGGGAGGTGGTGCTTGAAGTCCTCTCACGTAACTGCTCTAGAGGACAGTTAGTCTTAAGTTCACTCTTTCATCAGAAGCTGGAGGAAAAAAAAACTCGCATGCACTAGCCTGGGAGGGAACTTGGTCCATCTTCATTTAAAATGTTCTGCCTTCAAGGATGATGGCCGGCTAGCTATTTTCAATAATCAGTGGAAGTTAGAACAAGAAGCAGGTCTTCTGAGAACAATGTCCCGATGCTCTAGGGTCAGCAGACAGGAGAGTGGGTCCCAATAGCCACATCCATCACTTCATTAGATTCCTTCAATCCAGCAGTGAAGCTGAAATCTGTCCTGCCAAACTGCCCCTGGCAGAAAATTGGGACACCCGAGGGGTTTGGATGTTCTCATCTGACCTTTCCCAATCACTAAGCAGATGGATGTGTGTGTTTTCTTTGGCTTCTTTGTACTTGAGAATGAATGTTCATTCTTAGATATTTCAGTTTACCCATGGGGTGGGAAGGATGGTGTTTGTTTATGGATGAATATTTGGGTGTAGCCCTGACTTGACACTAACTTAGCTACTTCAGGGATGCTTGACCCTAAATGAACACTAATTCATGTCTAAAAATGTTGGCCACGATCGTACAAACTTTACATGATGTGAACTCACCACAAGATTTGGTGGGGCATGTGCTTCAGAAACACTACCTAATGTTGCTTATCCAAACAGGAATGTTTAAGTCCTTCTTCATGTTCAGAAGCACTGAACAGGTGCTAGAGATGTGTGTGGAAGTGTAACAGAGGGTATGTTTTCTCTCGGACGAGGGAAGATGTTTTGTGGGATGCAGGATTTTTGAAGCTTTTGTATGATTATATTAACTGATGATATCCGGCTTCTTGTTTTGCAGATCGGAAACCTGGAAGATTACTACCATTTTTATCATAGCAAAACCTTTAAAAGATCGACTGTGAGTAGCAGAGGCCCTCACACCTTCCTGAGGATGGACCCCCAGGTACAGACCTCTGTTCCCCAGCCAGGAGACTTGAATGTTGTTTGCTTTGCATGTGTATCTATGGTTGTAAAAATGGCTGAGTGTGGGTTTTAATGTGTTTCTAGAAAGCCACCCATTTTCCATATCCACTTTGAGTAAAACATGACCAGTGTGTAGAGACATATCAAACCATCTGAATATCCATATCTATTTTTAAAATAGGTATCAAGATACCTGAATTGTTAGAGATGAGGATTTAAATTCTTGATTTTTTACTTGAAACAATGGTTAAGATCTATTGTTATTTTGAGTGTATAAAAGTCAACAAAATGAACAGTCATTACAGGGGATAAGTTTATAAATCTTACAAGCAAAAGACCAGGCCATTCAAGTGAGCATTTAGAGTCTGGGTACATGCATGTTTCCATGGCTGTCCTAACATGTCTTAATGGTTACCAGGAATTTAAAAATTTGGGCAGTAAATAGAAATTCCTGCTTTCCTTAAAAATTCATGTGATTTTCGAGATCAAAACAAATGTAATTTGATGAGGCTAATGTTTTAAGTTTAATGTAATTCATATGTATGGGGTGGTTAATTAAACTTCCTTTCTGCACAGACTTGAGATTAATATTTTATAAGTATCGGTCAACAGATACTTGGTAAGATGAAAAATTTAAGATGGCCAAGTGGGCTTGCGATGACTCTATTCATTCAACAGGTGACTTTGGGGTGCCTGCAATGCGGGCCAGTGACAGATAATCAAGCTGTCATTGGAAAATATGCGATAGATCAGGATAATGATTACTACAAGGGGAAAGGAAGTTCATGGGAGAAGCAAAGAAATGTGGCCATTGGAAACTCGTTTTAGAACATGGAAATGGCCTTTTCTTTAAAGCTAAGTGTGCTAATTGTTGGTTTGTGCTACCAGGATGGCACATTATGCTGTTTTAGCTATTCCCAGAAAAATGTGGATCACCACAGGGAATCATGGGGTATCATCATAGTCTCCATGGGGAAGTGGGTTCTGTATGTTGTCCCAAGCCACGCCACTGGCAATCCAGTGCTCCCGTATTGATGGACCTGGGTGAGAGTGTGTGAGAGACCAAAACATCCTTTTCTAGAATATCACTTTGTGGGCATTCTGGAACGGTCCCCATAGAAGTGGGCTGTGACAATGCTGATGTGTCTTGTATATAGTTCCGAATGGATGGGAGCAGAAGACAGGCAAATGGATAGAAATGTAAAACATTATATAAATCCCTTTTTTCTTCATCGCAAAGAAGGAAATGTGAAGAGTTGACGACGTTTGCATACGTCGTCATGGACCCGCTGGTGCTGGACCCGCTGGTGCCGCGGTGAGGCTTGATTGTGCTCCCACGGTGGAACTTGAAGGCAGGCTTTGCAGATCCTCCTTTCAGGAACAAACCACCTTGTAGGCTCTGACTCTCACAGAAGGGGGGTGCTGGAGAGGAACAAGCAGAACCAGTATCTGGGGTCCTGGAGACGAGGTGGAAGGAGGTTCTGAGCATTGTGCCCAGGGGCCAGTGAGCTGCAAGTTGGGAGGCGGAGGCTTGCAGTGGAGAAAATTCCAAGCTGGAAGGGAGTTGCTACAGCGCAATCTGACTTTACGCAAGTGGTGATAGGTCTTGTGATGACGACATGCTTGTTCTTCAAGGTCCTTAACGTTGTTAGTGACCACACACGTTACTACCGGGGCAGCTGTCTGCACGTCCCCACCATGGTGTGAGGATGGGACACTGGGCCGTCTGGTCCCCTTTGTTTGGGACATCTGAGAATTAAATCATCTTGCAATAGGATCTAAGGCAGAACTGAAATCCGAGACTTAACCCACATTTTGTTGACAGTCTTACTTTTAGTAACTGAGTTTCAAAACTTGTAGCAATAAGCCAGTTGGAGTGCTTTTCCCTTCCCCAAAATATTAGCTGTGCACCTGCTGGGTACCCCAGGAGATGCAAGGACACCTCTCTCATCTGTGTCTGTGCCAGGTGAGCCCCCCAGTGGGTCAGGGTTGAGACTGCATGGCAGTAGAGAAGATCCTGGGTGGGCTTGAGTCTGGCAGGGTGGGGGTGCCCAAAGCTGCCCCTGACACCATCAGAGCGTGTTCTGCAAAGTGTGACATTTGGTTTGGGAATGAAGCCAAAATATTCACTGGTTGTGTTCTCGAAGGAGATGGAAGGATAGAGCTTGCAGGCCAAAGCCAAGGCAGCTAAGTTTTTCTCAAATAAAATCCCCTTTATACGGAGCTTCTTAATAAGCTCCTGGCAGGACCACTATCACAGCATCCTGCCAATAAAGACAAAGGAGAGAAAAGGTAAACAACCTGCACATTCCAGCTCCGCCTGTGACTTCCACACGATTGGCTGGTTGTTTCTCACAGTTCTAATTAAATTTTTAGCCCCAGGGAAAGCATGTAGACATCTGAACCAATTATGAATTCAGAATCGCAACTGAAATACCTTCGTTTAAATCAGTCTCGTTTTAATGCAAACCAAATCAATTAGCTGTCAGTCTGACTAATATTTACTTTGCCCAAGTCGTCCTGATGAAATATGGGGCAAAATTAGCGGTCTTCTGGAAGCATTTAGTGTTATCTTTTCTTGCCGTGCACCCCACATCTTCCAGCATTAGCAAAGCATGCGGAGAGCTGTGTAATTAATATTATTAAGAAAGGAAAAGATGATTTAATATTATTTGGAGACATCGGAGTGCAACTCCGCCGTTGTGCTGGAATGACCCAACTGGAAATGAATGTTATAGGGCTCAGGATGAAGTTCAATTGAATGCAGATGGCATTGATTTTAATTAGCTCCAGTCCATGTTGTATAAAAGTGCTTTGATAAGTGATGGCATTTACAGACTGCCCTGACGTCACATAAAAGCTGATAGTGTGTATACGTCTGTTAACACAAAATGAAAACAAGAGCCACAGAGAGAGGGAGATAAAGACTTCTGGGAAGTCTCTCCCGCCCCGCTCTGTCTCTCTTGTATGAAGCGTCTTTTTACCCTGAACCAAGGTTGGAATTTTGCAGTCGTCTCCTTCCTCTCTTAATTACCTTTCCTTGATGTTGTCGACGATCTTTGAAAGGGCTTTGTTGCCCAGCTCTCTCCTGGGGAGAGCAGCCCTGTTCTCAGCCTGCAGGATCAGTGGCTGGCTCTTTGCAAGAGCTGTCATTTAAGCCAACGGAAAGCATTTGTTTTGAACTTGCTCTTTTGCCAAAAGTCTGGAGAAGGGTAGATATTACAGAAACATCAGCCAATAGCTGAAAGGGCTCACAAATTTTTTTTAATTGACTCTTTCTGATTAGGTTCCAAGCTGGTTAATCGCTGGATGTGGCCGCCTGCACCTCCCAGCCCTCACATTTTACTGCGATGACTGGTTCAGCCCTTCCCTTCTCAGCCAGATCGATGAAGGACGAGGAAGGGGAAATTGTTCCGAGGCAGGCCCTCAGTGGCTCCTTCTGAACAGGGGGCGGGTGTGGGGAAACTTCAGGGCGAGGCCTGTCTCAGTGCTTTAGTTCAGAAGTTGGAAGCTGCCCAAACCCCTGAAGTCGGCGTTCCGTTGTGTGGGGTGGGACTTTGACGCCCTCCCCCCTGCCCCGACCCCGAATTTAATCAAAGCTCAGGTTTCCCTTCAGTAGTGACGCAATGTTGAAGTGGATCTTCCCATTAACCACAGATGGAATTTCATCTGACAGCTCTGTGAGCGAGCGCCACACAAAATGCAAACAAACACAAAGTTCCTGGCAAGTACAGGTGCATGGACAGTAACCAATCGAATTGGTCTGAGGGTTGATGAACTGGGTCACGGCTCGGGGCAGGGCAGGGCTGCCCTCCAGGGCCCGGTGGGCCTGCCCACCTAGAATGTGCAGCTGTCTCGGCTCTTTCTGCCCAACCCAACTGTTTGTAGCAGGATGGACCTCAAAGACATTAAGGTTAGTGTGTCCCAAACCCAGATGACCACCGCTGACCCCAGCTCTGCCTTCTGCGCCCAAGCGACCCGAGGCCAGGTGCGGTCTCCTTGCTTCTTCCACCAGCCAGCCACGCCCTGTGTCTCCGAGGCTCCCGACCCCCTCTGCTGGACCACTGTACTGTCCTCCTCACTAGCTTGCTGGTGGCACCCCATAGGAACCTCCTGGCCACGCCTGAGGGTTCCTATGAAGCATGTGTGCGATGGTGCCATCTCGCTAGGGATGCCCACCTCCCAGGCCCCAGGTCTGGCCTCCCCAGCCTCACTGCCTTTAAAATCCTGCTCAGATGACGTTGGCTTATTCCCCTGAGCAGCGTCCACACAGCCTGCCCTCCCACTGCCTCCTCAAGTGCCCCTGCCACTGGGCAGCTGGCTCTTCCTAGCAGTTGTATGTTCTAGATGTGTGACCTTCTTCCAGCAGCATCTGCCTCCCCACTGGACCCTGGGAGAGGCGGGGCCCGGCTGTCAAGCTACTGGCTCCCGTGCCAGCTTAAGAGGGGAGCATGGTGGACTGGAGCATGCCCTGTGGGGTCCGTGCATACACTCACCCTGGGCAAGTACCTTCCTGAAGGCTCCAGTCTCTCTTTGAGGCGCCAGGTGCACAGAACGTGCCAAAGCCTGTCAATCCAGTGGCTCTCACATGTGTCTGAGCCCGCCTCTGCCCCCATCTTTTTTCTTGTGACATGTACTCCGTAGTCATTTTGGAGATGGTGACAAGAGAGAGGCCATGGCCAGATTTGGCAGGAAGGATGAGTGTGTGGTTTGCTTGGGATCTGGTAAGTGACAGGCCCAAGGCTGTCAGGGGCTGCAGATGGACCGTGGGGAGCAGGGCTTCAGTATTCCAGAATCCACGAGAGGCCTGCTTGGAGCCAGCAGCACGCCAGCCTAGGGTCCATGGTTATAACCACTGTGTGACAGTGACGGCCGGCATGGTTCTTGGCCAAGGCCACGTCTCTGCTGTGTTTACTCCCTGACAAGCCCAGCAGACCACACACTATGTAGTAACAGGAGTGTTCTTGGGGACCTGTCTCAGTTTTCTCAGGCCAGATTCACACCAGTCATCTGTTAGTGTGTGCCTACCACCTTGCGCTAGTTAACTACTTTAGAAGTCACTGGTGGCCTGCCTTGCTTAAATGACGATGAAGTCCTGCGGAGGGCCAGGGTTTGGGAGCCACACCCTATGTCGCTGATGCCTAGCACGACAGGGTGCATCGGTGATGGCCTGGTGTCTGCGTGGGGAGAGAGGCACTGGGCCCTGCCGCCGGCCTGGGTCCATGCAGACAGGTGGCAGGCATTTCCTTTCAGGGGTAGGAGCTAGCCTGCAAATGTGTGATCAGATCTAATTTCCCAAAGCCCTTTCATACCCACTGACTAATTTCCAAAATCAGCGGAGTACTGCTGTCGTATCTCACTGGTGCTGAGCTGTGGTCCGCCGAGCCATGTAGCTTAGCTCCAAGGGGAAGACTGGAGAAAGGGCTTGTACCTTGTTCCAGGTGTGACAGAGGTCCCGGTTCCTCCGTGACGTGGAGAGGGTGGCAGGTGTCTAGGCCAAGTGAGAACAGCTTTTTTAAAATTGATCTTCCATATTTAGGTTTTCCCCTCCTCTTCTCTTCTGTGTCCTGGCTTATGAGTTTCCAGCTGTGTGGTTGTCAAAGCAACCTGTACCCCTTGAAGATGTACACCATCCCTCTCAAGATGGTATAGGGAGCTGAGGGTCTCACTGGACCGTTTGACATCATTCCCTTGAGAGGCTCGTCCCCTGCGCCCTCTGGGAAGATGGTGCAGTAATTCCTCATCTGCAAAGTTCTCAGCCACTTTCTGCTGCCTGGTCTACCTCCAGTTCAGAGGTTTTTAACCATTTTTGGAATCAGAGGCACCTTTGAAATGCTGGTGAAGTTGTAGACTCGTTCTTTCAAGGGAAGACCTTGCACGCTCATATGCACAGACTTTGCATATGGGGTTTCCTGGACTTAACTCTGTTCTTTGAGGTACCTGGGGCAAGAGGTGTCTCCCCCCCCCCCCCGCTTATTTCTGTGTGCATTAGCCATTACCCCAGGTGAGAGCCATTACCCTTCTCAAGGAGCAAATGTCTCTTTAAATTCACCACTTGGGCAGTTTGTGGGCCTCTTAGCTTTTCTGCTGTTGAAAGTTGGCCCCATGACGTGTTGAGAGCAGCCTGTATTATCAGGAATTTAGATCTCAGTATCACAAGCTGTTGAGTGCCAGGGGTCTGTGAGATGGCGGATCCGATCCTCAATCCGCAGGCTGGAAGCCGAGGCCACAGGCTGCCCAGCCTCCTGCAGGGAGATGCGTCCGAGGCTTATCCTCTGTGGTGCCTATTCTCTCCCAGAGAACAACTCCTCCAGCTGGAGTAGAATGTGTGTGTCACACACAGAGACACGCGATGCTGACAATGACGACGATGACTTGGGCCAGGGTCTGAGTGCTTTATATAAACCGTAACCCTCATGACCACCGCCCTTAGCAATGTCCACCAAGATGGACAGATGGACAGTTGAGACCAGAGAACCTAACTGAGCCACACAGCCAGAGTGTGTGGGGCTGGAGCTCGAATCAGGCAGCCTGGATCCTTGATTCCTGCTCTGAAAGCTTATTTATGCCACCTCTCCAACTTTTTTCTCGGTTGTGAAGGTAGATCTCATTGAAAGCCATTCAGCAAACCTTGAACATCATTAAAAAAATTTAATTAACAATAATGTCAAACCCAGGAATTGCTGCTGTTAATATATATTTTTTTAAGATTTATTTATTTGTTCATACAGAATTGGGGTGCAGGCCCAGAGGTGCAGGGGCAGTGTGAGGCTTCACCAGAGACAGAGTGGGGAGCAGAGCAGGCAGATCGACAAAGTACACTGCTGAGGGGAGCAGCGGGCGGGTCAGGAGAGGTCTGCCAGCCATGTGGGTCTCATGCTGCAGTGGCTTTAGCTTCTTAGTGCTGTGCCTCAACCCGCTGGGCACCAGGGAGGACCCTGCTGTTAATATTTTGCTGTGCTGTGTCCTTCTCTAGAGTTTTTTCCCTGCAACTTTTGCTACAGTTGCTAGTGGCTACTCAAGAATCCGCCGTCCAGTTTCTCATAATTAGCTTATCAGGTCTTCACTGCAAAACATCTCACCTCCGACTTCCAATAGCCAGGGGATCAAGCGGTTTCTCCCCTCTTCACGCTTTCCCTACGTGCAGTTCCCTTTGTTTCAGGACAAGGATCAGCCGATAATTTATTGGCGACATTACAGAATCTTTGATTTCAGAATCTACCAGATGGCTGCCATTTCTCCTCCCACAGAACATTTTTCAAGTGTGGTCACTTTGAAAAGAAAATGTTGTCTGTCAAACATGGACAATGTCACCATTAAGTTAATGGTGTGGCACAGAGCCCCTGGGGAGATGACCCCAACTCAGGCCATCACGCGTCTCTCCCTGGCAGGTGAGATGGCTCCAACAGCAAGAAGTGAAACGCAGGGTGAAGAGACAGGCTCGAGGCGACCCTCAGGCCCTTTATTTCAACGACCCCATTTGGTCCAACATGTGGTACATGGTGAGTAGGGTGGGAGCGTCTCACCAGAGCACTGGTATGTTTCTGAGATGGGGTTCACTTGCCTCACAAAGCGAAATTCTCCCAACTGGAAACAGTCGGTTCACATGGAGTGCAAGACCAGGTTCTTTCTGCAGCTCCAGGCTTCATGTGGATCTTTCCCTGAAGTGATGTGAACGTTTCTGGGGAGCTCCTTGAGTAGGGAAGCAGCTCCGTGCGAGCAGCAGGTCTACTTGGTGAGAGGGAGCCCCTGCACAGAGGGCCTGGGGGAGGGCAACCCCGGAAAAGGGCAGACACAGTGCCAGGTGTTGAAGTAGGCGGGGTTCCCCACCCCTACCCCCTGCACCTGCTCTTTGTGGAAACGGCGGGAGGCCGGGGTCCCGGCAGAGGCGAGGGGCTTTGCAGGGACATCCAGTCTGCAACATCCACCTTCTGTTCACAGCACTGTGGCGACAAGAACAGTCGCTGCCGATCAGAAATGAACGTCCAGGCGGCTTGGAAGAGGGGCTACACGGGGAAAAACGTGGTGGTCACCATCCTCGACGACGGCATCGAGAGGAATCACCCCGACCTGGCCCCGAATTATGTGAGTCTGCAGGGTGTGACACGCCAGGTTTCCAGCTGTGCTGGTCTTCAGCTAAAGACACAGTAACAAACAATCGGGGGCCTCTTCCCGCTAGATGCTAGGCAGGGTGGGAAGTGCCGGGCCGGTGAAACTATGTTTGTCCCCACCCTGGAGCCAGGGAAGAGGGTTTTGCAGAAGGACTCATCGGCATGTGGGAGGCAACCACCAGATCGTAGGAGAGGATGCGCAGGGACTCGGAAACATGCTGGGAGACTCATCCTCATCCTCCGACGCTCTGGGCTTCAACTACCACGCCTGAGGCCTGGGACAAGTTCCTACGCTCTCTGGGCCTCACTGTCCTCATCTGCACAGTGGGGTTCCCAGGAGGACTAGTCTCCCAGGGTTACGTGAGGATGACGTGAGTCACCATAAAGCAGAGTCTGGCCCATAGTAGATAGACACATGCAGTCTGTGTCCTGAGGAGCCCGCTGCCCCCCCACCCCCACGCCTGGGACATGCCCGAGCGTGTGGCGGCCCGTTCACTTGCAGATGAGTTTGGACGTTTGCAACCACAAAACCAGAGGGCTTTGGTGTTGTTTTGTGAAAAGGAGGACATGGAGCTATGTGGCTGCGCCACTGATCAGCCCATGAGCAAGCACATAGGTGACTATTGTGGACAGGCAAGAACCAGGAGGTGTGACACTTGCTGTCACCGACAAACCCTACAGCGCGATGTTCAGTGAGTGAAGGGTCAGTCCCCAGAGGAGGGACATGCAAGGCTGCACTGCCCGGTTCCTCGCCCTCAGACACAAGCAGCAGGGAGAGCAGATAGCAGAATGGGGAGCTCGCGTTCTGTGGGCCCAGAGATTCTGTTTTCAGGAGGGGAAGCTGGTGGGCAGTTTCTGAGGGTGGGTGGTGGTGATGGTTGCACAAGTGTGTGTTCAGGGCCACTACACAGGACTATACATCAGAAATGGTCAGGATGTAAATTAGGTTCTGTGTAGTCTACCGCCAGAAAATATCTATGGGTCTCTGGGCCTCCCTGATGGCGCAGGGGTTACGTCTCAGTGTCGGCACCGCAAAGGCCTGAGTTCCTTCCCTGCCAGGGAGTGACCCACGTGGCACAGCTGACCTCTCCTGTCCCCCCACTGACCCCCTCAGCAGTGTGTTTCCGTTCTGCTCACATTCTGTCTCTGGTGAATCTTCTCACACCATGTACTCTGGCCTGTACCCAGTTCTTGTATGAAAAAAATTAAACACACACATATATATATAAGCTGATAGTTACAGTGAGAGCGTGTACCGAGTGTGATTTTCTGTTTTCCAACAGAAGCATAAAGTAATTTAAATGGGATTCATTTTGATGTCAGCTGCATGCCAGTTCTCTTCACTCATTCAGATTTCACTTCTTAGGATTCTTACGCAAGCTACGACGTCAACGGGAATGATTTCGATCCATCGCCACGATATGACGCCAGCAATGAAAATAAGTACGCCCCTTACTCTGGTCTCTCCTTGCTGCTTCCTTCCCTCCCCAGCAGAGGGGGGTGTGTGGGCCCACAGGAGGGACCCTCAAAAGGGGAGCAGCTGCCAGCAGTTGCCCGTCCTCGGTTGAGGGCTTCCCAGAGCCAGGGGCGCCCCTGGGAGAGCCCTTCAGGCATAAGGCGGCCCCTGGGGTTAGCCTCTGCTGTTGATGGGTGCTCCTGCCTCCAGCCTTGTCAGAGTATTTCGAAAGAACCATCCTTCACTTAAGGTCTCTGTGACCAGCTGAGTTAAGGCCACAGTTTGGTCATTGGAGCACGTGGTCACAGGCCTGAGCTTTTCAGGGCTCCCCGCTTTGCTTTTTGAGGAGTTGGAAGGGCCATGGGGGACCCTGGGTAAGTCTGGGTTCACATCCCGGCCCTGCCCAACTTGCCGCTGTGTGCAGGCTGGGTGACCTCACTGAGTGCCCGTGAGCACCCCAGAGATTTTCAGTGGCGATGATGTGCCCACTTCCCAGGGCTGGGGGGCGGGGGAGGGGTGAGAGTCACCCCAGCCAGCTACGAGGTCTGGAGAGATGAGGCGGCTTCGGCTCTGTGAGTGGCACCCCCAGGGCTGGGTCTTTCCCCAAACCTGGTACTGGGAGGTGACTTTCACTTGCCCTGCACCCACCCTCCACAACATGCCTGGACCCTGAGCCCGCCATGCTCCCCAAAGCCTTGCCAGGAGAACAAGAGGCCTGTCTTTCTCTGGCCAAGGCTCCTCCCTCCATGGGATTTTAATTCTCAGCGGATCCCACGCAGGGTGTGAAGCCTGGTGCTGGCCAAGGGTTGGCCCCCGGTGAGGTCACTGTCCCGGGAGCCCCACAGGCACCGCCCGCGGGTGACCACGGTCCCTGCCTCACGTCCCAAGGGGCCCTTCCTGCTCTGCGGCCCGCACGCCTGGGGGAGGGCTCCTCCTTTCCAGCCTGAGTCCTGGGGGCACGGAGGAATGATCCAGACACCGCGGGGACCCTTGAAGGGCAGGCCTGGGGCCCAGGAGAGAGGGGCTGGTGCCTGTGAGCAGCCCTGGCAGGGGGCGGCCGCTGCCCTGAGCGGGAGAGCCACCGCCCTTCCAGAGGGCAAACACAGACCCCGCGCCATTTCCAAATTTGTACCAGTAATTCAAGTCCAAAAACGTGCTGCTTCCACTCGCCCATCTTCCGCTAGAGGAACTGACCCAAGGCGGCACACTGGAAAATGGGGTCATTACTGAGGAAAGCAATTTGTTTTTCTGGTAATTTCGTGAGAGCCCCCAGCTGCTGCTGAGCATTCAATCTAGAGTGCTCTTCCTCAGCTCTGCTTCAGGGACAGAGGTCTGCCCCGGGTGAGCGTCGGGTGGGAGTGGCCCAGGGGCCGAGACAGACGTGTCCTGTCAGACAGACGGGTGTTCACACCGCACCTGTGCGTGCTGGACCGTGCTGACATCAGAAAATGGGGGGAGGGGGTGCTGGGGGGAGCCCCAGCTCCTCGATGCCTGGAAGGCTCATGGAAGGCTCGGTCTGTGCCCAGCCTGTGCACAGCTTGGCCCGGCGCGCCCGCCCTGAGCAGGAGATGGGGCTGAGTGCCCTTCCCGGCTCAGGAAGGCGCGGGCCACGCCCCGGCTCACTCATCGCCTGGCTGGGTCCTAACTTGGTCTTTACTTTTGTGGCAGGCATGGCACGCGTTGTGCAGGAGAAGTGGCTGCCTCAGCCAACAACTCCTTCTGCATCGTGGGCATCGCTTACAACGCCAAGATAGGAGGTGAGGCCAGGGGCATGCAGCGGGGCCGGGCGGGTGCGGCAGGGACCCTCCTACCCAGCTGGGCAGCTCCACCCCTGTTGGCCTCAGCTGGCCTGAGGCCTCGCCCTGGCCTGCGCCGTGGCGGCCGCCACACAGCCACGGGGGCCTGAGGCAGAGAGTTGTTTCTCCTTGCCTGAGCTCCGCGTGTCCCGTCAGGAAGCCACCCCCTTTCTGTCCCCTGGTCTCGCTAGTCTCCCCCGACTTAACCCCTGTCAACAGAGTGTTCCCCCTACAGGCTACGCTGATTCTCTCCCTGCGCAGTTTCCGGGGCTCCCTGACATTTCCCAGACAGTTCACAGCCTGCACTTGGGGCCACAGACCCCTTAGCTCTGGTTCAGGCCCAGCCTGACGGGCCCGTCTCCGCCCTCGTCCTTCATCAGCCAGAAGACAGTCCACAGTGTCCCCCGGACACGCTGGGTCTTCCCTAGCCACGCCGACTTGCCACATTCCTGTCACACCAGTGGCTCTACGTGGGCTCTGTGCACTGTGACTGGGGTCAGCTCCCGCTCGCTCTGCCCCCTTGGGGGCTCCCAGAAGCTAGCAGCTCCTGCTCGCTCCTGACCTGTGCACCATCGTGGAGAGCAGGGCTCTTCCAGGCCCTGCCCCGGTGGCTGGCTTTGTTGTCTGGCTTCTCCGTTCATGAATGAGGCTCCCCTTGCCAGGTGGGGGGTCTTTGGGGACGAGACTCAAACATTTCCACTCAGCGAGGGGTTGGTGTGGCAGTCAGGTGCTCACCCCTGAGCTAGTGTTGACCTTGCCTCTCCAGAGAGCTACAGGGCGCTGCCTGGCTCTGGCTGAGGGTGCCCATGCTGACATGCTGGGCACCGCCTTCCCAGGGGACCCGCAATCTGCTCTTCAGAGCCCCCTGGGGGGCTTGCTGCAGTCCCCTCAACTCTGCTACCAGCAGCACGAGGTGAGACGTTGGAGCCAGGTAGCCCCAAGATCACCCAGTCCTTGGGGAGTTTCTTGAGTTTTGAAAAGTAGACCCTCAATTTTTACTTGAATTAGGTTTCTCCTCTATGCTTTCCCTTGGCCATCTCTGGAGTGGCTGGGTTTGTCCTGTCCCACGCTCTTGTATGTTGAGATGTGTGCACTCTCTCTGGAGCTTTCGATGGTGAGTGGAGACCCCTGAGAAGTCTCCCCACAAGCTTAGGACCGGGCTGCCCTGCAAGCCAGTCCCCACTCCCTGGCTGTGCATCCTCAGACAACTGCTGGAGCCTCTCTGAGCCTAGGTGTCTCCCCCTGTGTGGGAAGAAGCGCAATGCTGCAGATGCGGCCCCAGGTCTGTTGTGATGATGAAGTCAGGTGCGAAGTGCTGGCCGAGGACGGTCTGCAGGAAGCTGTGAGCTCCTCCGCCCCTTCCCCTGAGACTCAGCAGCAGAATAAACCCACGTGTGTTGCTTTGACACATGACTTGACGCCTGCGCGTGGACTGTGATGAGGAGCTGTGCAGTGACAGACTCAAAGCACCGCCAGGGGCTAGGGGCGGTTCTCACCTGGGGCTCTACACTCAAGGCAAACTTCCATGCCCAAATTTTCCACATTCTGGAGCATGCACCCTGCTTCCAGGGCAGCGTACAGGAGTACTTTTTAGTCAATGCAATTAATGCCTTTGAGCGTGTACTGCACCTGTAATGCCAGCCTGCCACTGAGGGGGGTCAAGGAGGTGACAGACGCAGTGGGGTGGTTCCAGGAGCCCAGCATGTCTTTGGAGTGAACAGGGCCAATCTGGAAGATAGTGCAGGACCACTTACTGCGATAACAGAGGCAGACAGGGACCCCGGGAGTAGCCAGGGCAAGCACCCCATGAGGGCAAGAGCATGAGGGAGTGGAAGAGAACTTGGCTGAGCTGGGGGGATGCTGAGGCAACGCCTTATAGGATCTGCAGCCTGGGGTGTGCCACTTAGGGGAGTAGGCTGGGCCTGGTCATGGAGAGGCAAGAGTGGGGTTGCCCAGGGAACCGGTGGCAGCCATTTTTAAAGCTGCTGTGTGCGGCTTCGGCCACCCCCGACAGGCAGCCACCTGTTCTTGTCCTCGCCTCCAAGCCCACCCTGAGGCAGGGCAAATGCAGGCAGCTCATACAGCCCCTACGGAACACACGGGTGCACACTCTAGACTTCCTCTGGTATCGCCCTGAAGCTGACCATGAGCTATATCTCTTTATACCTCCTTTTTAAATCGCCCCTCAAGGGATCACAGTACATATCCTAAGTTACCCACACTCTCTGGAGTCATGATTGTACAACTTCATGTATAATACATGAACCTGAAATAGATTGGATTCACATTCACTCTCATCCTTTGTGCTATTGTTTTAATGTGTTTGAATTTATGTGTTAAAAACCCACAGTGTATTCATACTGAGGCTTTAAAAGCAAGTTAAGTTTAAAATACTTATGAAAAGAAATATAATTACCTACATAATTTACTATTTCCAGTGTTCCTTCTTACTTTCTAGCTTCAGATTTCCATCTGGTTTGCATTTTGCTTCAGCCTGAGATTTTCTTTTAGTATTTCTTAAAATGCAAATAGGCTAGTAGAAATTATCTATTTTTATCTGAAGGTGTCTTTATTTCATCTTCACTTTTGAAATAAATTTTTTGAAAGGAGAATTCTAGCTAGATTTGTTTTTCTTCCAAGATGTGGAAGATATTATTTTGTTTGTCTTCTGGCATCTATTATTTTTGATGATGTGTTGGTTGTCATCTGTATTATTATCCCCTTTATGCAATAAAATCTGTCCTCCCTAACTTACTTTGTAATACTTTTCCTTGTCTGTGTTTTGATGTGACTACAGTGTCACCCTGGTGTAATTTTCCATGTTTATCCAGCTTACAGCTTGCTTTTGGATTTTTTTTTTTTCTAAATCAAATTAGGAAAAATTTCTTTCAATACTTCTTCAAATATTTTTTTCAACCCTATGTTCTCTTTACTCTTTTGGTGTATAATATATAGTTGTTAGGTTGCTTAATATATCTCTGTATCATTAGGCTGTGTTCATTTTCTTAGTTCTTTTTTTCTCCATTTGCTTCCTGATTTCTATTGCATGGTCTTCAGGTTCACTATTCCACTCATTTTTTATGTCCAATCTACTATCTACTGTTAATCTCAGCCAATGATTTTTAAAATTTGATACTATATTTTTCTGTCCTATGAATTCCACTTGGTTCTTTTTTACTGCTTACAAAAGTCTAAGATTCTTCATCTCTTCAGTCATTTTATCTATCTTTCATCTTTAACATAATTATACGAGTTACTTTTGACTCTTTTGTACTAGTTATCATATATAGGTCATCTGTGGTACTTACAATGATTGAAATTATTTTACAGTGAGCCCCATAGTACTGATTCTTTGCATATCTTTGCAAGTCTAGTATTGTATACTAGATATCATTGTGTCACATGATGGAAACTCTGGAATCCCTTATCTCTGAATATTATTGAGTTTTGTTCTAGTACTTGGTTGAGTTTGAATTTGTGCTGATATAATTATTCATTTTGATAATGGTTATTTTCTGATTTGCCCTTGACCTAAGAAGAAATCACTTAGATAGTAAATAGCCTTTACTAATAGATCATGACCCTTTTCGGTTAATCCAAAGACTAAAATATTTACCACGGTCTCTAACTAGGTAACACTCAATACCAAATTGACTCCTCTGGAGTGGGCAGTGGCTGAAATATCTGCTTATCTCCTTCAGCCTCCTGCTGTCTTTTCTTCCTGGGGTTCCTAGCACCTTTCCCTAGAGCATTGCTTAAACCTGTATCATTCATTTAGGGTCAGCCGAGTGTTTGAAGGGTGTTTGTCTTCCTTTTAGCTCCCTTTTTTCTGGAATTTGACTCAATTCCCTCTATCCCATCAATACCAGAGTGCATTCCTTGACTCACCAGGAGAGTAAGATAGCACTTTCTGCTTGAATTCTAGCCTCCTGGCACCAAGAGACTGGGGGAGTTCCCTTGAAGTAAAAGCCTTATAAAGTTGGATATCTTCTTTGAAAAACTCAATTTCCTACCTGCCTCCATCTAGTTGCACTCCAGTGCCCCTAAAATGTTGTGATTTTTCAAATAAACATTTTGTGTGGAGCCTATAATTTTTTTTTTTTTTTTAGACAATTTGTGTGACAGGTGCTACTCTGTCATTTTGGAATTAGAACCCATGGCTTACACATCTTTAGCAAACAGATGGCATATATGTTATCTATTGCATCAGGAGAATAACTCCGAACTGTAGTTTGTTAAAACAAAAAACATTTGTTACCTAACACATTAGCAGCTTAGCTGAGTGATTCTGACTCAGGGTCACTCATGAAGTTGCAGTCAAGCAATTGGCTGTGACTGTATTCTGAAGGTTTGATTGGGGCTAGAGGATCCTTTACTAAGTAACTCTACTTACTTGGCTGTTGCCTAGAGCCCTCATTGCCTTGCTGGGTGTTGGCAGGAGGCCTTCATTTTTCACCAACTATATGTCTACATTTGGGTCTTTGAGTGCCCCAATAACATGGTAGCCAGTTTCTCTTGTGGCAGACTGTTAAAGAACAAGGAGGAAGCAATCATGTTTTTTATGACTTAGTCTTAGAAGTCACAAGGATCCCTTCTGTTATACTCAGTTCTTTAGAAATGATTCATTAAGTCTAATGTATACTCAAGAGGAGAGAAAGTAGGCAACCCTCCAAACAGAAAAGTGTCCAAGAATTTTAGGTATAGTTTAAAGTCACCACAGATAGCCTGCTAAAGATACGACTACATGTTTATAGAAATGGAGTAATATTTTCTACCAATTTTCTTTATAAAATTGCATGTATAAGTTTGTCACCGGGCAGTAATTCAGTCAAATGAAGAAGTCGTGAAACTGTCTAAATTATAACCTTAAAATAATAGTCTTACTACATTACTATTGATAGTCAAGATAGCTCCAATATATATGTAAGTTTGTCCACATACAGAAGAATATAAAAACAGAA